AAAAAAAAAAAAAAAGACGTAAAAGAAGACAGGGATACCTGCACCAGTGCTACATAGCTGACGGGAAGCATCTATTCTTCAAAGCTTGCAGCTGTACACGTAGGTTTTGGAATGTCTGTCCATAGTGAACATCGTCTTAGGGTGGGCTGGACAAATAGACCTTTCCAGGTCATGTAATTGAATTAAGTTGATAAGTTAGAGTCCGTTTCGCATCAGGGGTCCAGAGGCAGTATAAAAGGCAGCCTGGAAAGCACAGGTCCCTCTCCGCCCCTTCCTCCGGCTTCCTGAAGGCTAAATCGCTTCCAGCAGGGCTGCTCCAGCACCTGCCCATCTCAGCGCCAGCCGAGGAAAGAAAGTAGACCTGTAATTTCAGGCTGCCATGATCACCCTATTCTCTTCCTTCTGGGGTCCCTAGGAAGCTCCCAGGACTGAATAATCCCCACAAAACACAGTGGCCAGGATGGGAGGGCTGGAGGTCAACTCCCCCCCACCTCTACCACCACAACCAAGAGGCCCCATGGAGGTTGGCCCTGAGCTGTGTGTCCCTGTGGGATGCAGGTTCCCACGGATACTTTACGGGGTTAGCATTGGTCCTCCTCGCTGACGGGAGACTGGTGGGCACTGGGTGTGTGGGGCCTGTGTAGGTGGGTGGACAACACTGGGCCTAGCCAGGGAGCCAGGGACTGGTGTGGCTAAAGTGGGTAGCAATGTGTTGCCAGAACAAAACTACAGTGCAACCAGCCCAGCTGGTAGGGAGAAGGAGGCCTGCTTAGCAGGACCGTCCACCCCTGTCATGTCCCCAAGCCCAGACTGCCTGCCTGTATTGGACATTGCCTGGTCCAGGAGGCCTGGGCATGAGAGTCAGATAGTGTGTCCCTAGGTTCCAGACTTTGGTGGTCCTTTGGGAGCTGAGCATCCTCTGGGCAGGAGGAGGGCCCGCGGTCCACTGTTTGCATCGACCCCCGGGGGTTTGACCCCACCCCGCTTCTCAGCCCGCACTGGGACGTGGCCAGGACTCCTCCCCTGCTCTGTGGCTCCAGCTCTGAACAGCTCACTGGTGACTCTGACGGCTTCCTCCCCAAAGATTGGGTCCTCATCTGTGGGAATGGGGTGTCCCAGGCCCCCTGCAGGCAGGAACCCACCCCCAGCTCCTCTGGTGGGTCCTCCTGGGCTTTCTTACCTACTGGCTTGTGAGATCCGGTTGGCCAAACTTGGTGTCCTATTTTTATTTTGGCCTTTTTCTTAGTGTGTGTTTTCTGTAACTACTGCTGTGTAGA